GTTCTTAAGTAGGTTGTTTTGTTGATGAATTTGTATTACGTACGTGGTTATTTGTGACTGTAAATTTTTGTAAATGTGGAATTTTATTGTAATTTTTGTATTTATAATGCAGTGCCAGTGCACCTGTTACTGGGAGTGAAGTTTGTGCTTTACATCAAGGACCACAATGGAAATAAGTTTTGTTTTAAACTTTATTGTGTTATCCTTGACGAATAGAGTGTATTCACTACTTTTTTGTCAAACAAACATAAACATAAAGTCTAATAAATGTTAAAATTGATATAATTAAACTGTAATGTTGAATGGCTATAGTCAATGGTTAACTATTAGTGGGAAAAAAACTATTTCATAGAGACATTAGTATTGGTATCAGCAGTGGTGGAAAGCCACTACTTTTTTTCAAAACTGATAGCATAGGCTGCATAAACTCGAAATTGGAGGTTGTCAAATTCTGAGGGGAAAAAAACGCTTAGGCTACTATTTTTCTCAGAATTGCGACTTTATATCACGCAAATCTGACTTTATAACTCGCAAATGCGAGATTATATCTCGTAATTCTGAGGAGAAAAAAAGTCAGAATTGTGAGTTTATATCACGCAAAAAAAAAAAGATGTGATGTGAACAGACTGGTTGTCTAAAATGCGACCACTTATATGCGACCATTTAAGCACCCAAGTTTGCCTAAAATTTAAATTTGTTGCTTACATTTACAAAATGCGCATACAGTAACAGAAATAAGTCTTTTTAATGAAAGTAAAGGTCCGTGTTTAATAAAAATGTCAATGCAATGAAAATATTTAATGACATTTTTGTTCAGTTTAGTTTTATATGCTAGGCTATTATATCCACATATTTTATAATGTCACAAACAATAATCTCAAGATTTGGGTTTTACATGATTCTTTGATTCCTTTGTAGTGGGGGTTTGTGAAGTGTACTAAAAACAAACATTTTCAAGTGTGTCCTCCAAATCGAGCCACAACCTAACCACTTTATATGTTAAGAAATTAATTCACTCAGCAACTCTACACCAGACAGCAAACTAGGCTACTAACAGTACTACTTCCCGGCAAACAGCTACTACTCCCCGTCGCTTCCTGTTGT